AAAGGCACTTCCGTTTCGTGGCCGCTGCGTCCGTGACGCGTTACGTAAAACGCATTGAGTAACGGTTAAAAGTAACACGATCGATCGGTGAATGAAGTGCATTGTAACACGAAGGTGATACTGGAATTAGTTATGCAACAATTAGCAAGGATATCTTAATGTTTGCAAAATGCATAGTTGCGAAATTTTGTGCTTTCATTATTGAAATTCAGGGTTTTTAATTTCTACGCTAACAAAGAAAGGAAATTTAAATTAATTTCAATATTAGAATTGCGAAAACTGAGAGAAACGACATTTTCATTTTAAATAAATATTTAGACGTTTTCACTTCAAATTTACCTTGAATGTAATATTTTCTTTAAATATTTTTCTTTCGAGAAATTTCTGGTGAAATTACGTAGACGTTTTTAATGTTTCGAATTTTTAAAGAGCAATCATAGTTCGTAACGATAGAATTATTAATATTTTTCTCTATATTTTCCTGTTCCATTTTCTCTCTTTGCAAAAATGAAATATGGAAATTGAAATATGAAATATTCGAAGAGAAATTTTCACCGGATAGAGAAGACCAAGAAAAGACCAATTTCACGTGGGATCATAAAATTAAGAGGACAGACTCTTGGGAGCCCCTTGTCGTTAAATCCAACGATCCTCGAGCAAACTGTAAATCTTGCTCGATCATGAATCGTTTCGCTGTGATTAGGGTAATTGCGCGTATAGTACTCTCTCATACCTTTTCCCTGTGATACGACTAATTAAAAAGAATCGTCAGACTGGCCATTATTTCGAGCTCATTTCCTAATGGATTCTTTCGCGGGTGAAACGCAAAGGATTGGATCTCTAACCGATCGGTGAAACGCAACGGGAACAGAGTTTGCATTTCTTCTGCTTATATGTTTAATTTACAAACTGGACTTCCTTCCTTTCATTTTTCAATTATCGTTAATAATAGATACGATTTTGGAACTTTTTCTTTCTTCGAGAACTATTGTAAGATTTCCAAATTTTTCGAACTTTGCGGTTTTAATAGTATATTTGGCGTAAAAATAAAAATTCCGAATGACGCGTAAATTGTTGAAATTAAACACTGTTTAATTATTACACCAAATTTCAGTCAAATCTGTTAAATAATTTGTTAAATCATCGTTAACAAATAAAAGTGTAAGTCTGTATTTTGCGTTTAGTATTATAGATAGTTTGGTTGATATACACTACCGGCCAAAAGTTTGGAATCACCGAGCATTGCAATTTACAGAAAAATTTCCAGAAAAAAGTCAGCGACTTTGAGAATTTTTTATCGTTCGAATCAATCGATATGAGATAAATTGATAAATGTAGAATTGAGATAAACTTTAAATCTATAAAAAGCAGCAGATTTAATATCGATGAAAAGTGGGAGGTGATTTCAAACTTTTGCCTGGTAGTGTAATTTGTGGGAATTCTGTGGGAAATATTGTAGGATAGAGTACGCAATTTTTGTGTTAAAAAGGATTTTTTCATATTTGAAGCTTCGGGTAGTAATTTGGGCCTGGAGATCAAGTAGAATTGGCCTGTCATGATCAGACACTGACTGAATACTCCAACCTCTGTTATTGTGAACACAAGTGTCAGGAAGTTCTTCTTGCAAATTTGTTTGCAATTCTTAATCGTAGTATGAATTATTCAAGAGCACGAAAAATTATTCAAACAAATATTTCATATGAATAGAATAAAAAAAATTCAAATTTTCAGTTCTCGCTAAATGAGTATAAAAATTCTAAATTGCCAGTTATCCAAACAAAAATTACAAAAATTCTTCGAGACTC